GAGTTTACGTGATCCACCAGCCTTGGCCTCCCAAAGTGCTGGGATGACAGGTGTGAGCCACTGCGCCTGGCCGGGAATTCTTTTTGTTTTTGAGATGGAATCTCGGCTTACTGTAATCTCCATCTCCTGGTTCAACCATTTCTCCTGCCTCAGCCTCCTGGGTAGCTGGGACTACAGGCGTGTGCGCCACCACGTCTAATTTTTTTTGTTTTAGTAGAGACGGGTTTCAGCATGTTGGCCAGGATGGTCTCGGTCTCCTGACCTTGTGATCCGCCCGCCTCGGCCTCCCAAAGTGCTAGGATTACAGGTGTGGGCCACCGCGCCCCCGCTAGGGATTCTCAGTGTAGTTAGATGTGTCCTTTTGTGCATGGTAAATGCTTGTGTGTCCTGTGTGACGCTCCCCACCCTGCCACACTGCGGTGATGGAAATCCGATGGTCTGGGTTTTGCTTTTCACACTTAGGTTGATGATCCACGTGTAGCTTCTTTTTCAGGCCTGGCGCTTGTGTCCTTTCCTCCCATCTGGGTGGACACTCGGGCGTCCCCGCCCTCGTTTACACAGCCAGCTTCTGTGGGTGCAGACAGTTGGGTACCTGCACCCTGTGGTAGGCTTCCCTGTCCCACGCCGTCTGCACCTTCTCTTAGTTGCTGCAGCTTAAGTTCTTCATTGACTGCGCGGCCTCAGCCCGCCGGGAGGGCAAGTATTCCAGGCCTTTTGCTCTTGCATGTAAATACTGGGGTGCTGCCATCTGGTTTGGTGCGGGTCTCAAGACTGGCTGTGCAGCAGACACTGAGTGCCCCGGGGCCTCGTCTGGTGGAGGAACATGGAAGAGGTCAGGGTGAGAGTCCTGTGGACCAGATAAAGTGGGAAGAGGGTTGGGGAGCGGGAGAACAAGGTGGGCTGTGTGGCTGGAGCCCGGTGAGACGCACAGGGCAGGCCTGGGCCTCCCAGATACGCAGAGCAGGAAGCCCATTCCCAGCCTTCCCCGCAGTCTGACTTCAGGAGTGGAAGCAGGGCCACCAGCCCTGATGCCTCAGACCTTCGGGGTGGGGGCAGCAGGACCCCCAGGAAGAACTCTGCCCCGGGCCTGCGGCTCTGTAGCTGGGGTTCTTGCCTGGGCAGCTGCAAGGATGGTGTGTGTCCTGGGATGGGTGAGGGCCAGGCTGCAGGGGTGCTGTCAGGTGTCCAGAGAACTGAGAGGTCAGGGAGATGGAGAGGAACCGACTGGGCGGGAAGGGTGGTGGTTTCTAAGGGGGAGCAGGAGGCCGCCAGCTGAGCAGGGAGCCCCATTCACTGTCGGCCAGACCTGCCCTCCGCTCCTAGTTTGACAGAAATTACCGGAGTGGGAGCTTAGTCTTGCGTGGGTTTTCTGCATCTGTTACCTATTCTCCGTTTAGCTGCTGAGTTGTATGAACAGACTTTTTTTTAAACAGTCTCGGCTCACTGTAGCCTCTGCCTCCTAGATTTAATTTAAGCAAGCATGTCTGGCTCATTTTTGTATTTTTATTAGAAATGGGAATTTTTTTAAAATAGCCTTTGCCATGTTGGCCAGGCTGGTCTTGAACCCCTGACCTCAGGTGATCTGCCTGCGTCAGCCTCCCAAGGTGCTGGGATTACAGGTGTGAGCCACTGCGGCTAGCCCATGAACAGATGTTTTGCTAAGTCATGTCATGTTCTTAGGTTAAATCCATTTCATAATTTCAGTGGTTAGATTTGACTTGTGAATTCCTTTCCTGTACAATCCCTGTCTGGTTTTGGTAATAAGGGTGTGGTGACTCATGCCTGTAATCCCAGTGCTTTGGGAGGCTCGGATGGGAGGGTCCCTTGAGGTCAGGAGTTGGAGGCTGCAGAGCTGTGACTGTGCCCCTGCACTCCAGCCTGGGTGACAGAATGAGGCCTCGCTTCTAGAAAATAGTGACTTACTTACCTATAAAGCCGCCTGAAGCTTGTGTTTTAAGGATTTGGTTTGTTGTTGTTTTTTTTGTTGTTTTTGTTTTTTGTTTTGAGACGGAGTCTTGCCTTGTCACCCAGGCTGGAGTGCAGTGGCACTATCCGGGCTCACTGAAACCTCTGCCTCCAGGGTTCAAGTAATTCTCCTGCGTCAGCCTCCTGAGTAGCTGGAATTACAGGCATGCACCACCACGCCCGGATAATTTTTGTATTTTTAGTGGAGATGGGGTTTTACCATGTTGGTCAGGCTGGTCTCCAACTCCTGACCTTGTGATCTCCTCACCTTGACCTCCTAAAGTACTGGGATTACACACGTGAGCCACTGTGCCTGGCCTTAAGGATATTTTTTAAACTGATGATTTTGTAATTAAGATAGAAGTCTGACTTCTATTGAAATGGGCTCAGATCGTGCCACTGCATTCCAGCCTGGGCGACAGAGCGAGACTGTCTCAAAACAAAACAAACAAAACCCCGTGGCGTGTCTGATGCCAGCATCCTCGCTGTGTCCCCCACATGTGATCTTCCTCATCCTTCCCCTTAGGAGCTAAGAGCACATCAGGCTGCCTGGCCCTTCCCATCTCTGCCTCGTGTCCAGGTGTCTGCGGTGAATTGAGGTCTCCGCACCAAACCTCGCCTGCACCTGCGCCCCATTTTCCTGACTCAGTCCCAGTTGCTGCACACAGCCTGTCCTGTCTCACACTCAGGATTTCTATGCTTACTGCCTGTGCCCTTGCTCTCTTCCTGGTCTCTGGCTTTGTGTGGTCTGTGGAGGCTCCGTCTCTCACCAGCCACCTCTGTGCTTGGTCTGGGCCCTCAACCCCTCTGTTCCCTCCAGGGCTCCTTGTGTGGGCGGATCCTCAGGCCCTCGCTGTTCTCCACTGGCTGCCTCCCCGATCTATGTGAGTCCCTGGGTGGTGTGTTTTTCTCCAGTTGTAAAATGGATTAGGAGTCTAGTGATTGTTTTCTGCTCATCTGAAAATTTAAAAATATAAGAAGATGATGATTTTTGTAGAGATGAAGTCTTGCTGTGGCCCAGGCTGGTCATCCAACTGGCCTCAAGAGATCCTCTTGCCTCAGCCTCCCCAAGGGCTGGAATTACAGGTGGGAGCCACCATGCTTGGCAATTTGTTATTTTTACTTGAGGTTAAATTCAAACAACATTTAACCATGTAAATTGCACAGTTAGGATGGATGTGGTGGCTCATGCCTGTAATCCTAGCGCTTTGGGAGGCTGAGGCAGGTGGTTCACTTGCCCAGGAAGGTCTTGAACTCCTGAGCTCAACATGGCAAGACCCAGTCCCTACAAAAAAAATTTTTTTGACGGATCACCTGAGGCTGGGAGTTTGAGAACTAGCCTGACCAACACGGAAAAAACCCACCTGTACTAAAAATAGAAAATTAGACGGGCGTGAGGGTGGATGCCTATAATCCCAGCTACGTGGAAGGCTGAGGCAGGAGAACTGCCTCAGCCCCAGAGGCAGAGGTTGCGGAGAGCCGAGATCATGCCACTGCACTCCAGCCTGGACACCGAGAGCAAAACTATCTCAATACACAAAATATTTTTTTT